TTTTTAATTGTTCGCTCGAAATTTTCAGCTTTTTGCGTTTTTGGATTACAAAAATATCGGATTTTGTTCGTGCCATTTATTTGTACTTAATTCCAATCCCGTAGTTTGTCCAGATAATGACAATCTTTGGACCCCAAAGGGGAAGCATGATCCAACCAAAGTTTCTTCATTCCACTAGGTCACGTCATAGCCTGCCCATCTCACTGTTTCTGTCTAGTTCCAGGTCTGCAAATAAGGCCCAATACAGTATACTTTGTCCGGGTATTCTTAGGAATGGCTCCAACCGCCTCAGAGGGTACAGTGAGATGGTTTTGATTAAAAGAAGACTATCTGACCATAATACACCGTCTGATCGCATCGTTACTCACGCGATTCTACGCAGTCGATGGTCACCAAAAACAGGTACTTGTTGCTCGTGATCTGCTCCGGGAAATCAAGCTTCGCCAACATAGTCGGTTTGACCCAAATACAACACATACATTTGTACATGCATTACGTGCATTATCTTTCTCCACATGGAGTGCTGACTATCAAACGTGTCCATGTGTTGGACTGAATTAACTTACTTTTTGCTCTGAATGTGGAATTGCCGGTCAATCTCTGCGATCCTTATCCGCTTCATGTTATCTTCTGAATCGCATCTGATGAGAAATTCCGTTTTCTTTTGTATCTGAAAACAGATGTCCGAGGTCCTGTGGAAACCAAATGAAGACTTTGTTCGTAAAACGAGCATGTTTGATTTCATGCAATTTGTTGAACGACGTCATCAAAATAAAGTTCTTTTTCACGGAGATTATCGACGTCTACATGCGTGGTCGGTGGCAAACATAAACGAGTTTTGGATGGACTTTTTCACATATTGTGAACTTCGTTATTCCGTTCCTCCCACTAAGGTATGTGATGTTTTCATTTTCATCTTTTGGTTTACCCCAACTCACCAGAAGTTGATAGAGAGTTAACTGGTTATCTTATCGGATGAATATTCGTTGAGTTGTTATTGGTTATTGAGTTACATTCATTTATTGATGGTGTCATTTAACCTCCTGATGACACTGTTTTTTTTTGGGGTCTGTACCGGATTGACGTCAGATGTTAGAGTGACTCGCAGATATCGAACCCCGAATCCGCGTCAGAACACAGGGCTGGGAAATCTACTTGTGCCACTGTGTAATCATTCATGAATTATTTGAAATACAACAGCATACCTCAAATTGGGGACAACCCGGTCTGGACAAAACAATCGATTCGGCACGACAGGGACAAACGTGCCAGGATAATACTCTCTTGGAAATCAGAGGAGGAATACGACGCAGATATACCGACAGTGCCATTTAAAGGGCGGTGAGGACCAATCACAGGGATGGGATAGCGAAGTGAAACTAAAGGCGGATGGGGTGACAGATGGCAACCGTAATCACGGTGTAAGTGGAAAAATAGACAACAAATATGAGGAAGATGTCTGGGATGGTCAAGCACTCAAGGCGGGCGGTAGTGTGTGGGCCAAGAAACAACTGATTGTGAGAAAAGAAGGAACAGTGACAACAGTGAAGACGGTAGGATAATCATGGCGGGTGGGTGA